AACTTAAAAGTTAAAAATATTTTGAAAAAACAGGCGAAATTTCTATAGTTCCATCAAAAGTAATCCATTATAATTTTAGTTCTATATAATAATTTTTTAATTAGTTTAGTTTTTAATGTGTGCTACCACCTTTTACACTAATTAATTTGAAGATTCTGTTTTTCATACTTTTTATAAGATTTTCCAAACAAACCTTTGAAATATCGTTCCATGCTTGTTGGATAGATGTTTTAAGTTCTTGTATTGTATTATACTGTCAAGAATTTCCATAAATAGTTCGCGCCAATATTCCCTATAAATTTTCAATAGGGTTCAAGTCAGGTGAACATGATGGCCAATCCAAAACATTTATTTTTTTGTCAATGGTGGTTTTGTGATCATTCTTTTCCATTGGAATCGTCCTAATTTTGACAAAATTTGTTAAACACCTCAAAATTTGTTAGTCACAGGTAATTCAAGTTCAGTCCTTATTTGTCTTGCTGTTCGTACTCCAGATAAGAATGTTGCCTTTTGGTTGTTTTTTTATTTCCACCATAAAAGTGATTTTTTTTGTAATTTTTATTCAAGTTTATAAAATTGTTCTCTGCATGATGAGACCTTTTGATTTTCTTTGCAGTTTGTCGGTTAGATAAATTCATATCTTTGTAAGCAACATTTTTTGCTTTTTCTTCCTCATTTAACACCTTTCCGCGCGGCATTGTAATAATTATATAACAAATCTTAATTAAAAATACAAAAAACTTTCATATAAAATAAAAAATATAAAACAAACAAATTAAAAAATCTTACTCAAACTTCAACTAACTTTTATTAAGTGTTCAAAACAAACGAATGGAACTATGGAAATTTCATCTGTATATATACAAATTTTTAAAACATTCTAGAAAATTTAATTTCAATTGTTTTAGAAACACATAAAATTGTCATAAACAATTATGTGAGATTATTAAATCATTTCTTTCTAACCGGTTTATTAAAGTCATCCTTGAAGGCCAACACTCTTCTTTATTTCCAGTAACTTCTGGGGTTTCCCAAGGTTCCATCCTGGGCCCTGTTTTGTTTCTTATCTACATAAACGATCTTCCTGACAACCTTTCATCTAAAGTAGCTCTTTTTGCTGATGACTCAACTTTATACTCCTGTCTTGACAAAAAGTCTTCTCTTTTCGATCGTCTAGAACAAGCAGCTGATCTTGAATCCGATCTCACTTCGTAAATAGTTGAAAATAAGGACTTCATTTTTCTAATAGTTGAAATCAGGACTTCATTTTTAGATATAAAACATTTGGATTCTGGAAAAACCCAAGGTATTGAAAAAAGTTTTAGAAGAATGCTTTCTAAATTTATTAATACCTATTAAATGTATTGGTTTTACTTCCGATGGCGCTGCACTAAATAGCGGGGATCAAAATAGTGTAAAAACCATACTTCATGAAAAAAGTCTGTGACTTGTGTTTATTTGGTATGTTGCACATTATTTAGAATTAGCCATTGTAGATGCTTTAAAAGATACAGAATTCGATTTTGTGGATGAAATTATATTGCAAAGTTATTGTTTGTACTAAAAAGCACCAAAAAAGCTCCAACAGCTTCGCGAGTTGTAGACAGGATGGATATGTATGATGAAAGTTGCAAGTCTAAAAAAGCGTCTGGAACAAGATGTATTTCATATATAAAGCAGGGGTTTGGAGTCGTAAAAAAAAAGTAACGACTTCGACTCCAGTTGTTAAAATTTTTTGAGTACAATTCCGACTCTGACTCCAGTTGTTAAAATTTTTTGAGTACAACTCCGACTCCGACTACAACTCCAAAGCAAAATTTTTGAAAAATTCTTTAAATTCTTTAAAAAATATTACACAATAAGATAAAAAAATTTTGTTGACAAATTTACGAAACTTTCTTTGAGGTTTAGTATGAATGTAAGGTTAATTGCATGTTTTGTACATGCACGTACAATACCGAGAAGTTTTACTAATAGAGTCAAAGTCGTGATTTTATTTAGCGACTCCGACTTCGCTAAAAATGTTGCAACTTCGACTCCACAGCCCTGGTATAAAGTTAACGCCATGAAGTCTTTCCTTGATAAATGGAGTTTGTACATTACATATCTTGAACATTTAGCTGAAGATCCGTCAGTTTTAGCTCCTGAAGAAGCTAAAATGAAAATCAAATTCTACAAAAGCAAAGAAAAGATGGGAATTATTTGAGAAAAAAAGTTTAGAAAATTTGCCTAGAGTTAAAGATTTTCTTTCAGAAATAAAAAAAACAACGGCAAACATTATTATCATGGCATTGAACTTAGAGACTTTGAGCATGAGTTTAAAGTTTTTAAAATAAAAACTGTTGAGTATGTTACTGTAGTCAGGGGCTGCATTATACAACGTATTGAGAACAAAAAAGAAAGTACTCTCATTTTAAAGTATGGTTCCCAAGTATTGAATTGCAACAGTAGGCTTCGGGAGGTTATTGGTGAAAGTGGAACCATAACGCGAACTTTAGATTTTGCAGATGAAGCTTTAAATTATATATGCAAACACTTTGAAGAGCTGTTACACTTTGCTGCTGTTGTTTTTCCAGACATCTTTCAAGTTATCAATCAAGTTATGCTCAAGAGTTTTTATCCCAGGTTGAAACGCAATACCCCATTACCTGGCGACGCATATTTGTATCACCTAGAAGTAAATCAAGGACCTCTATTTTAACAATTGTTGAGCTATTGTTTACTTTGCCGATTTCTAACGCTAAACTAGAAAGAATGTTTTCTAAGATAAAAAGTGTAAAAACAAATTATCGCACCTTATTGACAGTCTTGTGTTTCGAACATTTTTCTCATTTTGGAAGATGGTCCATTGCTGAAAGAATTCAATTTTCTTCCTACTATTGAATTGTGGTGGAGTAATAAGAAAAAGCGCCTAAACCAAAAACCAATAGGAATTTACAAAGATCGGGTTAACAAAAAAAGAACAATTACTTCCTTTAGCGACAGTGAAAACGATAGTGGAGAGGATCATCTTTTTGATGATAATTAAAAGAAAAAGTTTTTTTGTGTAAAAATCTTTAAATTTTAAAATAAGTACAAAATATATGGTCTTGCTTTTATAACATATTTCTTGTCTTGAAAAGTTGCGTTAATGTAGACATCTGTATGCACAATAAATAACGTTAAATAGAAATAGTTGATACCAATATTATAAAATAAAATTTAGATGATAGCAAACAAGACATATTAATTATTTTTATTTTAATAAAAACTGTTCAAGATTCTTTTAGAAATACTGTTTTTTTTTTCCTAAAAGTCACATGTTTTTAACTTGTAAATCTAACCATGAAAGTATTATAAGTATACTTTTTATTTACATACTTTTATACTTCCATGTTCTAATTAACACCTGTGGCACATATCAGTTGTAAATATTAATTCATATATATGTTGTGTATTAAAAATAGTTTTTCTTATAATTTATCAGTCGTGTTCGACAAACCAAATTATTTATCAGACAAACTGTCCAGAATATATATATATATATATATATATATATATATATATATATATATATATATATATATATATATATATATATATATATATATATATATATATATATATATATATATATATATATATATATATATATATGGTTGTGTTTATATTCATATATGTATGGCTTCACTTTACTTCTCAAAATAAATATCATTTACAAGTGTAAAAGGTTGCTAAAAACCATGAATTTTCTAGTGTGTGTATATATATATATATATATATATATATATATATATATATATATATATATATATATATATATTTATATATATATGTCAGTCTTCTCCATTTACCCAGCGCTTTCGTGCTCAAGCCTTTTTGCGCTATCCCACACACCTGCAAAAAAAGCGCTTGCCAAATTTTGTTTTTAATTACAAACAACTTTTTGTTCATTTTTTTTCAACTTTTATGAAAAATGGCTTTTTACCAGTGTTGTTTTAAATTGTTTTATCTAGTATTTATTCAAAGCATTCTTTTTGCTGATTTTATTTCAATTTAAATAGCAGAAAAAATGTGTTTTTTAAATCGCGCTGGATAACTTAAAAATTACCATCCTGTCAGCATTTTTTTGTACACTGGCATAAAATTTTAAATATAGAGAAGACTGATATATATATATATATATATATATATATATATATATATACACTACCGACAAAAAGTTTGAGGCAGGTACTAAATTTTTTAAAATTGCTAAATAAATAAACTTTTTCTAATATGATTTGTACTTTAATGATAATGAATACAAAAACTAATAAACATTAAACATTTTTTTATTATAAATTCTTAATTATAATTGTTATTTTAATTAAATTTTTGATTCGTCAAAATATCCTCCTTTATTCTTTATTACAGCGGCACAAATCTTTGGCATTCTATTGATCAATTTACGTAGTATTTCGGGTTGTATTGCATTCCATTGTTCTTCCAACATGTTCCAAAGGCTTTCTCGAGAAGATGGTTGCGTTTCTCGCACTTTTCTGTCAAGTTCTTCCCATATAATTTTTACCCTGCCTCAAACTTTTTGTCGGTAGTGTATATATATATATATATATATATATATATATATATATATATATATATATATATATATATATATATATATATATATATATATATATATATATATATATATATATATATATATATATATATATATAAAATATATATATATATGATATATATATATATATAATATATATATATATATATATATAATATATATATATATATATATATATATATATATATATATATATAATATATATATATATATATATATATATATATATATATATATATATATATATATATATATATATATATATTCAAAATGTTTCTTAATCCTAAATCATATATTTTTAAATTAAATCATATATTCTTTTACATTCAATTTAATAAAATTCAATAGTTTAATAAGGCAATAAGGTTAACAATTAGAAAATATCAACTTATTTTAGAGTTTTTTTGCATTTGAATATCAAGATGAGTTTCGATTAAATGGTTGGGAAGTTTATGATGCTAATCGGGAGATGACACGATTGGTTAGTACTTAACATCATGTGTTTTGCTCTATATTTTGATCTCAGTATTAACTTATTTGTATATGATATTAAATGGATAAGTATTTTTATATCAAAGTATTTTTAAAATGTTTTTCTTATATTAGCATAAAAATTTATAACATTTTTTTATTGAAATGATATTTTTTTATCAGAAAGTTACAGGATACAATTATAAGTTTAATTTTTTATAGTTAAAATAATTAGCGTATAACAAAAAAGTTTTTTTTAATTTTTGCGAGTTGTTTATTAAAAAAGAATATAAAAAAAGGTTTTTGAAACATTTATGGGACATTTTTGAGGCTAATCAATCACAATCCATGATTTTTTTTGACCGGTCTTTATATTCAACCCTTGGAATTAGGATCGGCATTCACCGATGCTGACCTAACTGCTGACCTGAAAGTGAAAAAATCGCCAACCTTGTTTCTATGTTTTATGGTAACTTGTTTCTATGTTTTATGGTAACCCCTTTGTTTCAATTTTGTTTTGCTGACCTCTAACAGTTTGAGGTCAGCAATTTATTGTCAACCTCCTTTTTCCTAATTCTGAAGGTTGTATATTATTGATATTTTCTTACATTTGATTAATCCTATTTTTTAACCCAACTTAAGTCCCTAGAATAGGGACTTAAGTTGGGTTTTAACAATAAGGAATTGGGAGTTGAATTGGGAGTAGAAAAAATTAAAGAGCAAGAAAAAATGAAGAAGACTTGAAAAACTGTAAATTGTAATTCTTTTTTTGTAAGTCTTTGATTTTTTTTAAATTTATTTTCACTAGTTGTTAAAGTTAAGAATAAACTACAATTCAGTTGAAAAAAACTTTTAAGGTTTGTTAAAGGGTTTTATTTATTGCAACAATATTTTTTTGATCTGATTTTTTAAGACAATTTTTTATGGAAGTTTAATGACTATGAAAAAGTAATGAAAAATGTTATTGTAGAAAAAAAATGTTGCTTTAATTTACAATTTTTTTTTTTAATTAAATATTAACAAATAAAAACTCTTAGTAATAATTTAAATATGTTTTCTAAGAAAAGTTTAAAAAACAACTGTTATTTATAAGTTATTCTTTTGTCTTTAAAAGTAGAAAGAAAAAAAAACATATATACATACATACATACATACATACATAAAAGTGTAACAAAGTAATTAATTAAATTATATTTTCCAAAAAATATAACTCAAAATGTACTACATAAAAAAAAATTTAATGTTTAACCAAAAGTTTAATGCATCAAAAGCACTTTTTCAAAGAGCAACAGAGCAACAAATGTTTGGTTTGTAATATCTCTTGTTAATTAAATTTTCCGATAAAAAAAAAGCCTAGTTATAATCTTTTATTTTTTATAATTTCCTATTTGTTAAATAAAGCAATTATTTTAAATAATAAGTTATATTTAATAATATCATGTTTATAATTTTATAATAATAAATTAGTAATAATATTTTGTTCTTTAATACTAGTACAAAAAAACAATGATAATAAATTATGCAAAGTTATAAAATCTATTTTGAATACAAAGTGTTTTTAAATTTACTTGCACTACACTAAAAAATAACTTAACAAAAAAGTCTGAATTATAATTTTTAAAAGTGAATTTTTTAAATATATTTGCCTGAATAATCAGAGCTGGGTACCTGACTCATATATTCGCAATACCCAGGGAAACTGCCAGAATAGAAAGATAATAAGTACCGGGCTCTGCCTGGGTACCCGGAATACAAAAGTGCCAGATATCTGGCTCAGTTGATTCCACCATTTTTTCAGGTATTCAGAATATATAGATGTGCAGGGTGCCTAGAAAAACGAGACTGAGGGAGGTATCTATTTTTATCTCTTATTTATTTATGTTTATTTATCTCCCTGAGGTTAAGGTGACTATTAAAATTAATTGAATTTAGTACTTCTTACTTCAAGTTGCAAAATTTGTGGATATAAAAACATTGAGATTAAATTTTGTTGAAATAAAAATTAAATATGTTCTGTTTTGTTTATAAAAAAGAAAATATAAATAAAATTATAAAATAAATGTTGTATTTCATTATTAAAAGCAAATTATTCATTTTACAATTAAAAGTAACCCAAATCATTCTTGTTGCAAATAAAACTTCTTGGCACAAGTGCCAAAACTCAAGAACCATCACTGGGTGCATCCTAAGTAAAATCATAAAATATTGCAAAACTGTTAATGCATGCATCCATAAAAAAACTTAATGACCACAAAACGTTTGTTGCATTATAAGCAAAATATTTATATACAAAACTGTTGGTAGTATATAAAACTATCCACATGAGAAAAATCTTTAAATGCAATTAACTGCGTCCTAAGAAAAATCTTCATATACTGACAACCAAACTGCTTTTACATGCATTCTGAGATAAATCTTAACAAAAAATAAAAATAACAACAAATATTTTAATATACTATCTGTGAATCTGTTGTTCCTAAAAGTGTATTTACTGACTGTAAAACATTTGTAACTTGCATCAGAAAAAATATTTCATCTTCACATACTGTTTAGACAGTTGTTTAGACAGTGTGTCAAGATAAAATTCTTGACACACTGACTACAAGTAGTTGCCTCCATGCAAAAAAGTTTAACACACTGGCTACAAAATTGTAGTACCTGCATACAATAGGTCTTAACAACGTTACCTGCATACAATAGGTCTTAATAACGTTACCTGCATACAATAGGTCTTAACAACGTTACCTGCATACAAGGTCTTAACAATATTACCTGCATACAATAGGTCTTAACAATGCAAATTTTGAATTCATTTAATTCAGCAGCAACTGATTAAAAAACTTATTTAAAAAAAAAATTTATTATCAAATTTAAAGAAGAAAAAAATAATTAGTGTCAAAAGCAAGACTTCAAAGGTTCTTTATTAAAGCTTCAAATTTTTCATAACCAGCATTCAAATAAAAGAAATGATAATGTTGATGTATAATAGAATTTGTTAATTGCTATTTCTTGTATCCTGAAAACTTGATTTAAAAAAAAATATTTTTGTTGAATGTTATAATTGAAATTGTAAATTAAAGAATAACATAAAAGCACATTAAAAAATCTTATGTTTTTATTTATATTTGTTTTTATGTTTTCATTATATAGAGGGAACTTGGGAATTTTTATATTTTCAGCTGTAAATATAGTTTATTATTTATACATTATTATGTTGACTCTCATTGGTAACCTACATTATTATGTTGACTCATTAGTAGACTACATTATTATGTTGACTAATATTGGCTGACATTGCTTATGCAAGATAGTTTATGCCTTTTGAAAGTAAAGTATAAAAAAAATGTAAAAAGGAAGCATATTTTAGTTTATCTTGTTTTTTTTTCAGTTTTTTTTATTTTATTTTAGGGTCTTCCAACTGATTGCTGGAGATTAACAGAATTGAATCGTGATTATCGATTATGTGATACATATCCTGCAGTTGTAAGAGTTTCTTTTTTTATCTTATTAAAAAGCAGCAACTTTTCTAATATATTCACTCTCAGCAGGACTCTAAAAAACCACTGATTATGTTAGGGCTCAGTTAGGATCATAAAAATGATTATTTTAAAAAAATAATTGTTTTTTAAAAATAGATCTACAGATTTTTCTTAAGTTCAAGGATAAAAGATGATGTACAGATTATGTGAAAAAAATGGAGAAAAAGAGGTTGATGTTATGTCTCCAAGTGGAGACACTCATCTAGGATGGTAAATAGAATTATGGAAATATATCTATTTATTGGCAGAAAGAAATTTGTAAAGTTTCAAGTTTTTATCTTTTTCAATCTTATACTCAGATAGTTTACTCCATGGCTTGTTTGTCTGACAACTTTAATCACTTACCTTTACATCTAAATATAAATGATTAAGACAAAGAAGTTTTTATTCCTTCTTGTTGATCTCAACTTAAGCTTCACTCTTCACTAGTAAGTGACCGGAGTTAAAATTTGATCAGGGCCGAGTTTGATAAAAAATAGCCAGGGCCAGGTTTGTAACCGGGGCTGCATAAACATACCTCCTAAAATATATATTTTTTGAAATTCATGTTATATTTTACTTATATATGCATGAATATTTATATACAAACATCATCATGATTAACATGATCATCATAATCATCAATATCATCATTATCCTTCCCTTTTTATGCTGTTTCTCTAATATAAACAATCTCAAGCGTCTTCTTTCCATAACTAAAGCTTGTTCATAGTATATGTAACATGCTTTCTCAAAGTTTTCTTTCTTCTAACGCTACCATCTTCACCTGAAGCTGCTACCTCTCTAATTGCTGATGCCCAAACTACTTTAATCTTCTATGACAAACATTGTTCGATACAACTTTTTTTCTTATCTCTATTTAAGGTTATAGTTCCTTTTCTGTTCTTGTTAGAGTTGTACCACACATTTGTTAGATTATCTCTTTTAGCAAATACTACACCATATAAATACTATAGTTTTTATAAGATATTGTATGCCAGCATCTAAATAAATAGCAAGCATATGTGTTTATATTCATAAATATCCAAATTATGTATGCATAAATGCGCCTCTTACCTAACCTCCTGGATCCAAGCAGGTATGAAGGCTTTGATTCCTTCTAGTCGGTTTTAAGTCAAGCCTCGTTCTACTCCATGTTTTTCACATTCTTTTGTAGTTGTTATATTAAATCGTAATCATTTTTTTTTTCCATCTATTTACATAAATATCTCACTTGAGAACAAATGACTTTTTATTGTCGCAAGAAGTCAATGTAAAAACTGTTAAGTGTTAAGAGTTAAGTCTAATATTTTTTCTTTCATACATAAATCTGATCATATTACTTCCCCTCTTAGATAAAACAAAATCATTTGTAAAGAATCTTTCCTCAAATTCATCTTATGAATCTAGTGACCACACTCTTCCCATTGTCCAGAGAAACAGGTTAATATATTGTTAGACATCCAAATCACACTGGCTTTGTTGTTAAAGTGACTTTTACAGTATTTCAAAATATACTTACTTTAAATTATTTAACATGTGTTTAACTGAATTCATTTTTTGTCTGATACAAAATTACATTGTATTTTTATTGGTTACTCGTAGCCTTGCTGGAAGTGAATTTAATTTTTTTTAATAACAACTATTGACAATTTTAAGTATTTTGAAAAGATGTCTGAAGTTTTTATTTTGCATTTAATATAGTTTTTATAAATTTTCATAATAATCATAAATAGTTTGCATAAATTTGCATAATAATAATATAGTCTGCATAATTTTGCATAATAATATATTTTGCATAAATTTGCATAATAGTAGAATAGTTTGCCATGTCTATTACTTTTGGAAATTTCAAATAATTAAAAGTCTTTGTCCAGTTGGCACAAATTTAAGCTTAAATAAACTTTTTTTTTAAATATATAATTTTTTTTTTAACATGAATTTTTTTTTAATTTGAAGTTTGTATTTTTAGCTTGCTGTGCCTGCCACAATAGGAGATGATGAAGTTCAGAACTGTGCCACATTTAGGAGCAAATCAAGATTTCCTGTATGAATGAAATAGTATTTATAATTCTTTTTCAAAAATTACCTCATATTACCAATAATAGCAGCATAAGTTAATAATAATATATTATTAAATATAATATTGAAAGTAATGTAATCACTCTGTGATAGCATTATTTCCAAAAAATATTAGCTAAACAGACTAATTTCCAATTTCATTTTTTCACACAGCTATCTTAGTCACAGGTTTCTTGAACTTGTGGATTAGTTTACAAAAATCTTGTTTAATATTTGCTTAAAGTTTAAAAGTTATTGTCTAATTATACTTTTGAAGTGTTTACTATTCCTTATAATATGCAATGGACTTTTTTGTATTACAATAATGTTGTTACTACATATAAAAATGAAATTCCAAATGATTTACTTAAGTTGTTGTCTATGAGTGTAATAAATAAAATCATGAAAAATAATGAATCCAACCAAATTTAACAATTGATGAATATGTCTACTACAGTTTGTTAAGTATGTTTAAACATTCATAATCAACTATTAACAACATGGTAGGCATTGAAGCTTCATTAATATATATAACTTTCATCTCAACAACTATTAACAATAGTTTTAATAGTAGATGTTAACAATTTGTTAACTTTTCAGGAGAACCTTTTTTGAAATTTTTTTTAATCAACAAAAAAATTAGCAAAAAAAAAATACTGTTACAAATTACTTTTTAACTTTTATAGTTTTACAGTATGTTGTCTTGTTTCACTTGATTCACTTGATTCAGGATTTCAATCACATGTGCTTAAATCAATTTCAAATGGAAATTGTGTTGCAATTCTACTTGACAATAATGTCAATGTTTTTCTTGCTTGCCAAAGCAAAATCACAGTTGAACAAAAATAATTTTTTTTTCTCTCTAATTTTACATATATGAAAAACTTACATATATGAAAAACTTTTACTTACATAAATGTAAAAAAGTTAAAAAAACAAAAGTTCACAATCAAAAAAAACTTGATTATTATGAAATTAAAATTAAAACATTTTCAAAAGTTAATAAATTTAAGTTATAAAACAAATTGACCACGAGGAAACTGATGAAGAAACCACCTTTTGTTTGTTAATTGTTGTTGTTGTTTTTGTTTTTTTTGTTTTTTGTTTTTTTGTTTTTTGTTTTTTTGTTTTTTGTTTTTTTGAGTGTTTTTTTTTTGAGTTATTTAAAGTTAATGAAAGTTTAAACTTCTTGAAAAATTTGTTCACATTTTAGAGGTGTTACCAGAAAGATCACAATGATTTGATTCTAACCACCTGACAGACCATGGTATAATTATAACCATCTGACAAATCATGATATGGTTCTAACCACCTGACAGATCATAATATGATTCTAACCATCTGACATACCACTATATGACTCTAATCACCTGATAGACCACAATATGATTCTAACCACATTTTTATATCAATTAATTACTGCTTAGAACTTTTTAAAAAGACTGTTTAAATATTCCAATTTAAAAAAGTTTTGGCGTAACGTAAAAGGCTTAACACTAGGTAAAATCACCATTTCACAGCGTTATGCTGTTAAATGGTGATTTTACCTAGCATACATATAGTAACTTACAAGTGAGTGAACACCGATTTTGTTTAACAGTTTGATTAGGGCCTACTGTGTTTATATCCTGTAGTTTTTCATAAACTGAAGAGTTATGTCTGATGATTTAATTATACTGTTAATTATGTCTGATGGTTTATTTATACTGTTCAGGGCAAGAGATTTCTCAGCAAAATTTCTGGTTTATTTATAATTACAACTTATGATAAAACTACACTAATACAAAATCCTTTTTAACTTAGGTTCTTTCCTGGCTGCATCCTTCAAATAATGCTTCTATAACAAGGTGTAGTCAACCAAATGTTGGTGTTGGTGTTGGCGGAGGTGGAAGAAGAAATAAAGATGATGAAAAATATATTCAAGTATTTTTTACACATTTGTTTTTTTATAATACTTTAAAAGTTTTTTTTTTATCTAAACCCCGGGTCTCAAGCTTTTTAAACAGTTTTGCTCTAGAGAGATTCATTGTGATTGGACTAAAACCAGTTGTTTGAATGTCATTGTAGGTGTCAGTAGTGATTGAATAACAGTAAAACTATCTGTTTATTTTTATAGGGCTAATAATAATAATTTAGAATTTGTTCAAGTTGATGTAAAATTTTCATATGCATCAAATTCTATACATATTTAATCAAATTCATCAAATTCTATACATATAAGTTAGTGTAATTTTTTCATAATATGCATCAAATTCTATACATATTTATTGAACTGCAAAGAGTGGCTGCATTGGTATATTCCAATATCACCTTCAAAAAATTTGACACAAATTGCATTAGGATAATATTTGACTATTCAATAACTTATTTTAGTATAAGGTATTTAATGGGAAAAATGGGAAATCGGAAAACTAGCTACTAAGGTTGCATTATTTTATAGTGCTTGTCCATTTTCTTACTCCAGATTAAATTCTTTATTTCTATAAATCTCAAATCCATCTTTGTATGGAATACTGTTGCCATATCTGGAGTGGATCTTTCAATGATGCCCTTTCTCTTTTAGATAAGGTGCAAAAGCATATTGTAAACATAGTTGAACTTGCTCTTGCAGCCAACATTCAACCATTTTAACATTGTCATAATGTTGCTTCTCATTCTCTTTTCTATAAATGTTATAACAGGGGCTGTTCTAAAGAACTAGCATCTATTGTGCCATCTACTAAAATTCATTCTCGTGTTACTCCTCATTCAATTAAGTCTCATCTTTTTACTGTGACTGTTCCTGAGTGCTCCAAAAGTTCCTAATCGTCTAGTTTTTTCCCTGAAGATCAGTTCTTTGGAATTTGCTCCCTTTTTCTTATTTTCCTGATTCTTATAATTTGCAATCTTTCAAGTCGTCTGTTAATCTTTATCTTGCTTTATAAATTTTATCTGTAACTTGCAACTCTAATAGTTGCTACTTGCAACTTTGTTGGAAGTGAAGTTGTTGCAACCTTGTTGTGAAGTGAAGATGTTCAAAAAAAAAATGTTAGCACATATCATATTAACCATTAATATCTATAAAGACAATAAAAAGAATTGTATTATATTTCATACACATTACTCAGCGTAGTTAAGGAGAGATCCAAATGATTTGCATTACTTAAAAACAAAAATTTACATTTTTAAACTTAAATTTTTTGTGTTTTCCGCTTATTTTAGACTATTACTGTTATATATTTTTAAAAAGTAGAATTTAAGCTTTTATTATATAATTCACTATTTTTTTATAAATCTTTTTTTAACCAAAGCATCAAGCAAAACAAAACTAAAATACATAAAACTAAAATCACTAAAATACATAAAACGCAATGGGGCAGCGTCATAAAAACAGCTTGAACAAATGTGTTAATTATTTGCATTTCAAAAATGTCTCTTATTCGAAAGTAAAATGACTCCTTGTTTACAGCTTTAAAATATTCAATAAATGACTAAAAATCTCTTATTTTATCTTTTCGTAAACAGTAAAAACATTAAAATCAAAGTTTTCATATTAGTTTTCACTCAAAGCAATATTACTTCCATAATCTCTTTATAGTCGTTTGAATAAATTACTAAACAAAAATGTTTCAGCTTTTATATAACTTCTGCTCCATAGTATTAAGCTAAAACTTCAAACTAGTAGATAATAAAATCACTGAATATTTCAAAATAAAACAACGAGCTTCGTGATTTTTTCAAAAAAGTAAACCAATCAAAATGCACACAAAATAAAACGGTATTTTGAAAGCAAAAGAGACTAATTGCTTTCAAAAAAAACGATGAGTATGCTTCGTGTTACACATTTAGTATTCAGTTAATTAATGTATTTTGGAAAATGCATATACTAAAATTTCATAAAATCATATAAAATAGTTTAATTGTTTATGACTTTAATTTGCTTTGACATTTTACTGATGTAAACTATATCTTTTATGACATAAACTATATCTTTTTTTTTTTTTTGATTCACTTATTTTAATTACTTTTATTTTACTGGTGGTTGAAATTTTCTTATTCATAAATGATTGAAGTTCTTATTTTATTATTGTTTTAATAAAAATATTTAATATATTATTTTTATAGTAATATAAAAATATATAATAATTAAGTATTTAATTGAGAACATTTTTTCTTTTTACTTAGTCACTTTTTTTTATTAAAATTTTTTTTTATTTTCTTGTAAGTTTTTGCTGCAAATGTAAATGTGTGAATGATTTATAGGTAAATTTAAAATTTTTCTATAATAGGGTTCTTAAAAATAATTATGTTTAGCAAAATCTTGTTTTATGTAACAATAGTTTTGTAGTAGTGTTTCATAAAACAATTGTCTTCTTACTATCAAGTATCTATTATTATCTGTTAAGTATCTTTAAATAGTAAAAAATTTGTGCAAGAGTGTTAATAAAGTTATTGTTTGTTGTTAACAGTTTTTAAAATGAGTAAAGATAAAATTTTTGCTTATTAAAATTAGAGACTTTAAATAATGCTCATTAAAATTCCACTCCTACTAAGAAAAAGAAATAAGTTGTTAATTGGAGAACCATAAAATATTTTGAAATAATTTTTACGCAGGACATATATTTATTTATCTGGTAAAAAAAAATTTTAATGTTCAAAAAATCAGATTTTTTTCTTCTTTTCTGGATTAATTTAGTTTACTGGTAATAAAGAGTTGTAAACCGAGAGTTTTTTTTTTATTAAGCATTATAGCATTTTTATTTATTACATTTTTTTTTTATAACTATAAATAAAAAAGGTTTTTAGAAGATTAATCTGAGTTGGTTCTCTATATAGTTCACACCAGTAAAAATGAATTGAAGTATTTTACTACAGAGGTAGTCAGATTAATTTTTTACTTATAAAAAATCAAGTAGTTGCATAAAATTGAGTGGTTTGTTTGACGTTTTGTTTAACGGTTTGTTTGACGCATAAAATTGAGTGGTTTGTTAACAGAATCAGATTCTATTAGTTCTCTTTCTCTATCTCGTTTTAAAATTTGAGGAGTTACTAACAATCATCACACAATTGTAAATACATTTAGTATCATCCTGATAGTTAAAATATTAAAATATACTTATTTTATTCACATTGTTAAAAATATCAGAAATAATTTATTGCACTTTAAAAACTTTTTACATAAAATATAAAAGATTTTTCATTTACATATAATATAAAAGATGATTTCTATAATTGTCCAGCTGATTTTATTACTTAAAGAGATTTTAATCTTCTATATTCTAAACAACTTCAAGCTAATTTAAAAAATGCTCCAAAAATTACATATTAACCTGGTAATAAAGAGCAAAATGTTTCTCTTGCACTTTTGATTTTTGACGAAACAACAATTGCAAGTTTTACAAGTTATTTATCTAGAACGAAACAACATTTCTAGTTTTTGAGGCGTTTTTCGAAAATAATGGACTGTTTTAAATTCAAATCAACAATTTAGTCTGAATAAACTTGGTAATGCAATTGTTTTTGATGATGGCAAAACAACTTTTTTTAGGATTGAACTTTTGCAAAAATCTCAACTTTTTACCTTATCAAAACAAACATCGCCTGCATCAACTATACATTCTCAAGCAATCCATATAGATAAGTATATCGAATAAGAATATTTGTTAACAGATGAGTGGTGGGAGATTAACAGATGAGTGGTGGGAGATTTTGAGTAATCTTACTAGAAGTTCAACGTGTAAATTGTTTAGAGGAAGATTTAAAAACAAATATCCAATTAATAATGAATTAATTATAATATTAGATTTAAACTCAAATGAGATATCTGAGTTAACTGTTTCACCTGAACCAAATGAAGTTGCAACAACAATTGCTGGTTATATAGCAAGGATATTGATAAAAAATAAGCAAATGCAACTATTGCAAATATACGTTTGCTACAGATGCAAGCAATATAAATATTTGTCCATATCTATAAATACGTTCACGAGGTGGTCACTGTTCTTCCACTTTCACTTTCACATGTGAGTATTTTGCAGTCTTTCAAATTTAATAACTAAACAGTAGGTGCTAATGTTAAACTTTGTTTTATCAAAATACTTTCAAACAGTTTGCTTTACCTGTGATTTACACACAGAATGGGGGGTTTAAATTTGCATTTAAAATTATAATTAATGTCTTTTTTAACAATAAGCAGAATGTATCAATGTCACTGTAGGAAAAGATGCTGTTAAATTTTCAAAAGTAGACAGAGAGTTAAATAACATATTTAACTCTCTGTCTCATTGGGCGGCGTGTACCACCAGTGGTACATGCCGCCCAATGAGACAGTCTAGTGTGTACCACCAGTGGTACACACCAGCGTGAACGTGTTAATAAAAAATAAAAAAAATGATAACATAAAAACAAATAAATAAATAGAATAGCACAAATTTTAACTTTAGATTTTTTTGTAAATTCCCAGTGTTATCAATTTAAATGCGTAATGTACAAATATAAAAATATATTGAAGATACAAATATATATATATATATATATATATATATATATATATATATATATATATATATATATATATATATATATATATATATATATATATATATATATATATATATAAAATATACATTGATGTATGTTTATTAATACACAAATCACTAGTATAAAAGCACAAAATGCCAGTTTTCTATGAATATTTCTAATATCATAATTCAACTTGCAATATTATATTTATACTATCTATTTAGTTCATATGAGATTTGATAATACGTTTTTTTTTTAATAAACGTATTATCATATCTCATACTTTTTGTATAAACAGGACTCTTATAATCAACCTCTAAAATGTAATATACATGTCCGTGTATATTACATTTTGCCATGATATAGTGATTGCATTTTGTTAATTTGTCTTAAATGTAAATTTTTAGGCAATCTTGGAAGCAAATTTACAATGTCATAAACTTTTTATAATGGATGCAAGACCAAAAATTAATGCTGTGGCAAATAAGGTATTACTATAACTTATCAAAATTATTATACAATCATTGGAGAAAACTTCTTAAAGGTTCCTAATTTATTCATTCAATAGATAATAAAGACTCAGGTTAATCATTTTTCTAGGCCAAAGGCGGAGGTTATGAAGACAATAATGATTACCCTAACACTGAGCTGGTGTTTCTTGACATTGCAAATATTCATGTTATGAGAGACAGGTATGCATCATGAAATATGCCTTTTTATTGTTTTGTTTTAGTATGTAAATATACATTTGGATTTTAGTTTACGTAAGCTTAAAGATATGGTATATCCAGAAGTTGATGATGCCCATTATTTATCAAACTTAGAAGCAACACGTTGGTTAGAACATTTAAAGGTAAAAAAATGTTTGTGTTTAATATCTCAAACCATGAATAGAGTGCTTTTTTAAAGGTGTATTCTTGTTTTGATACATTAAGGCTGTTATAGCTGGAGCTGTTCGTATTGCTGATACTGTTGATAGATGTCGTACATCTTGCATTGTACACTGTAGTGATGGTTGGGACAGAACTCCACAAGTAAGAATATTTTAAGATTCGATGTTGAAATTGTTAACAGAAATGTTTAATTTTTTTTATTGTAAATGTTTTTAAAGTTATCTATAGGATAAAATTTGTAAAAAATTTGAAAGTTAATTAGAATTAAAAGAAACATTTTTCATTTTCAACTTAAAAGAAAGTAAAGTCATTAGTAACCTTTAACACAACTTTTTCAAATTTAAAATTTATATTAGCTAACATCACTGGCTATGTTGCTTCTGGATCCTTATTACAGAACTGTTCAAGGATTTGAGGTGAAATTTTAAGTTTTAAAGTAAATATTTTTAATATCAAAATCCCTTTTTTTTTAAAAGAGATATGAAGTTTTTAATAGGAATAAGAACTCCACTAATAGGGGTGTAAAGTTCTTTTTAAAAGGAATAACTCCCTTCTATTTAATAGGGGTGTAAATTTTTTTTTAAAAGGAATGTGACGTGTTAAATCTGACGTCCTAAAATCAAAAAGTAAAAAATAATCCTAAAATCAAGAACTTTAGGATTATTTTTATAAATAAATAGATTACTGTCAATGATGTGCAAAATTGATTAGTGGTGTTCACCTCCTCTGAGATGAACATTGTGCAGTAATATTCACCTCCTCTGAGCTCATATAGAAATATTTTACTTTTGGAATTTAATTATTGTTTAAATTCTTGAAAATATTTATTGATAATTATAGATTTTAATTGAAAAAGAGTGGTGTAGTTTTGGACACAAATTTTCTCAGGTATTTTAATTAAAAATCAATGTTGTAATTTTGGACAAAAAAAAAAAGGTATTGGGTTTATCTTTAACTACTTTTTATTTACTAAATTTTAATTACTTATAAATTATGAGTTGATCTTCTTTTTTTTAGAGGTATGGTTTAGGAGATAAAAATCATTCAGATGATCAACGATCTCCAATATTTGTACAGTTTATAGATGCTGTGTGGCAAATAACAAAACAAGTAATGATTCTTTTGTTCTTGTTAATTTGTAAGTTTATTTTATATATGTTTCTCTTTTTTTTTTTTTTTTTTTTTTTTTTTTAGTTTCCATGTGCATTTGAATTCAATGAACATTTCCTTATCACAATTTTAACACATTTAAATAGTTGCCTATTTGGAACTTTTCTTTACAATTCAGAAACAGAAAGAGTAAAAGAGGTTTACAATTTCTAAACTTTTCTAATTTGAATTTTATAAAATGGAAACAATTGAGGTTTATTTAGTTTGCTTAATAGTTTTTTTATGTTATTAAAATCTAGCAAAAAAATAATTAGAATATGTAAAATACTTTATTTTAATAGGATATATGAGACAAAACACATTCACTCTGGTTTTTTTTTTTTATAGGATATATGTAACAAAACTCATTCACTTTGGTCTTTTGTAAACAGCCAGGTAAAACTTTTTTTATTTTTTTTTACTTTAAGTTCATCTTAATATTACAGGTGCTTGTTTTATCTGACAAAACATTTTTTGAATGCATTCTATAGCTATGACTTTATGTTGTTATATTTTATGTCACCATATCTTAATTAAAAACTTTGAAGTGCTATTTAAATGGTTTACATAAAGTTTGATTAACTCTTTTAAGATTTTTTTTTTTTTAATTATTAAAGAATTCACAGCTCTGACTCTCTTATGTAATAATAAATTACTTTCATTTAGTATGTTTGGATAGAGAAAAATATTTAAAAGTAAAAATGGTGACCAATATCTTTTTGTTGACTTTTTTTTATTTCAAGTAGACCATATCTTACAGCTATCTAAACTTTGTTGCAAATGACTGTGCAAACTTTGTTGCAAGTGACTATGCAAGCTTTTTGACCAAAAAATTAAAATTGATATGATCATCTAATTTTAAATCAAAAAAGTTATTTTTTAATTTGTTTTTTTAGATAGAAGAGTATTTGAACCCTTTGTATGCGAAACTACTGCATCAACATGTGCGTTTTAAAAATAAAATATGTTTTTTTTTTTTAAATTACAGTTTCATTTAACACAAGTTGATCTTCAAGTAAATCATTGATCTTGATTTTTATCTAAATGGTTTCAATGAAAATTAATCCTAATTAATATAAACATTCTTGCATCACAAATGTTTAAATTAATACTTTTATATATATATATATGTATATATATATATATATATATATATATATATATATATATATATATATATATATATATATATATATATATATATATATATATATATATATATGTATATATATATATATATATATATATATATATATATATATATATATATATATATATATATATATGTATATATATATATATATATATATATATATATATATATATATATATATATATATATATATATATATATATATATATATATATAACCCTCGGAATTAGAGTCGGCATTGGGCAACGTCCACCTATCTGCCGACCTGAAAGTATTTGTGGTTGGCAAAAAATTGCTGACCTCATTTTTATGTTTTATGGACCTTTGTATCAAATAATTTTTATGTTTTATGGACCTTTTTATGTTTTATGGACCTTTGTATCAAATGCTGACCTCATTTTTCCTAATTCCGAGGGTTATATATATATATATATATATATATATATATATATATATATATACACACACATATATATATATATATATATATATATATATATATATATATATATATATATATATATATATATATATATATATATATATATATATGTATATATATATATGTATATATATATATATATATATATATATATATATATATATATATAACGTATAAATAAAATAAAAATATAAAAGCAATATATAAATAGATAATATAATGTATAAATAATATAATAATGTTTTAAAATGACCCATATTCTTTTTTTCGGTTTTTAAATTTTAAAAATTAAGATTTTGAGCAACTCAAAAATTTTTAATTATTGTTACAACTCTTTCTCTTTAACTCATGAACAAACATGTTTGATGTGGGGAGAAGATGAGCTTGGTACTACCGGGGTAAACTCATCTGATTACCATTTTTGTGTTGTTTAATATTTTTTTCTTGTTAACAAAGTATCACTATATCTTCTTCAACATAGTACTTCTTTAACATAGTTTAAAATTATTTTCTTTTTCTATCCCACAGGTATTTATTTCTATTCATAAGTATTTATATTCCAAGTTACCGTCAGATCTTACAGCTGAAGCTTTCTACTCATAGGTATTACTACCAGTTGCTAGTGTTCGTCACTTGAAACTTTGGAAAGCTTATTATATGCGTTGGAATCCAAGAATGCAACCACAGGTACTTTTTCAGCTTTTTTTTGTTTTATTTTAAAAATACAACAATGTATGTAGTATTATGTAAATTTATGTAGTATTTACTTTGCAATGCATTCATACTGTACAAATTGGTTACAAATTGCAGTATTATTTGATTAACATCATCCAAAAAAAAAAGTAAAAGTTGATTATAAAAGAACCTTAAAATTCAGGTGAATTTTCACCATGAGCAGGGCCTTATTCATCTTGTTATTCATTTTCATAGTTTTCTTATTTTTTTAAAAAATTATTTTGTTACAAAAATATTTAAATTGAGATTTTAAAAGCAATATAATTATAAGTTCTATTTTAGAGATAAAAAAAAGGCTTGAGTTCACCTTAAAGTTATTTTAGACTTTTTCTAGGAAGCTGTAGTACACTGATTTGATCACCCGTTTGTTATAGAACCCTAAATGTTTTTATTTTTTAAATGATGCAACATTAAAAGTAAACTTTAAATCATGTAAATAGAATAATTTTTGTTGGGCTTAAAAATAAGAACAAATAATTGTGCAAATAACTTTTTCGCATTAACTTTTTCCTTCCCTATTTTTTTTTTTTTTTGAAGGTCCACTTTATGTTTTGAAAAATTTCCTATTTTATGTTGCAATCATAATGTAGATAAAAAAAAAAATTTTTAATCAGAAATTTATTATAATTATAGGAACCTGTTTGCACATTTTTTACATTTACAAATTTTAAACAATGTGTATAATTAAATATTGTTTTTAGACATTTTTAGATGTGTATAGCAAACGTTGATAAAGAATTTTAAAATTGTTTTTATAAAAAAAGGAAATTGTAATTTACCATTTGATTCTTAACATTGTGACTCTAGTTTGAGAAACAAATCTATATTGCTATTTATAGTTTGAGAAGCATTTATTATTAAACATCTATATTGCTATTTATAGTTTGAGAAACAAATCTATATTGCTATTTATAGTTTGAAAAACATTTATTATTAAACATCTATATTGCTATTTATAGTTTGAGAAACAAATTTATATTGCTATTTATAGTTTAATAAACATTTATTACTAAACATCTATATTGCTATTTATAGTTTGAGAAACATTTATTATTAAACATCTATATTGCTATTTATAGTTTGAGAAACATTTATTATTAAACATCTATATTGCTATTTATAGTTTGAGAAACATTTATTATTAAACATCTATATTCCTATTTATAGTTTGAGAAACATTTATTATTAAACATCTATACTGCTATTTATAGTTTGAGAAACATTTATTATTGAACATCTATATTGCTAATTATGACAATAAACTTCAAAACTTCAATTCAAAAGAATCTTATTAAATGTCACAGGGTAAAGAGTTTATTGAAATGCTAGTATAACTTTTGCTCTAATCATGCAGAATCAGGAGCTATAAAAAATATAATTTTTTTTGTTGTTGTTTTATTTGTAATACCTTACAATTAAATCAGAAAATTAAAAAACTGCTTTTCTAACTTTTCTTTCACCAAAGCTGTCTAAAATATATTCATAGTCTCATAGTCTTTGCTATTTTATGTTTAACAGAAAGAGTTACTCAATGGTTATGTTGTATTATCAAAAATAAATTGCTTTTTATTATTTTAAATTAAATGGTAAAGAGTATTCAAAAACCAATACATAATTGAGGGCGTAAATTTTTTCTTTCTTAAAAATAGTTTTTTATACATTGTTTTAGGTAACGCAGGGTTTTTTTTTTTTTTTTTTTTAATATCTTCGCTTTCAACAAGGTTGCAAGCAACCACTAATTAGAGTTGAAAGTTACTGGAAGAGAAAAGATAAAGATTTTAGAGCAAGATAATGTTTGACAAACTACTTAAAAGATTGCAAATTATAAGAATCAGGAAAGCAAGATAAAGAAAGCGAATTCCTAAGTTTTAAAACGAATTTGGAATTCCAAAGAACTGATGTTCGAGGAAAAAAACTAGAAGAATAAAAGTTTCTGGAGCATTTAGAAATAGTCACAGAAAAAGATGCTAGCTCTTTAAGCAGTGCTCATTATAGTATTTGTAGAAAAGAGAAAGAGAAGCAACATTACAGCGATGTGATAATGGTTGGAGTTTGGCTGCAAGAGCAGGTCCAACTACGTTTACAATGTGTTTTTGCACCTTGTTTAAAAGAGAAAGGGCATCATTAGAAGATCTGTCCCAGATCAGGCAACAATAATCCATACAAAGCCGGATTTGAGATTTATTTAGAGATAAAAAATAGAATCTGGAGTAATAAAGTGTCGAGATAAAGAGATGCAACCTTAGCAGATGCTAATTTTGCAACGGATTTGATATATGGTTTCCAAGAAAGATCAGAAGTAAGAGTTAATCCTAGAAGATGGAGAGTATGACTCATCGAGTACATTGCCATTTATAAATATAGGAAGATCTAAATTATTGCAATAACGATTGGCTGAAAAAAATTGAATTTTATCTGAATTAAAGTTCACCAGCCACTGTGAGCCCCATGCAGTAGCAAAAGTGAAATCCCTTTTAAGCTCAAATGCCCCCTCCAAGCAATCAGAGAGAGTTGGCTTCTTATCTTGACAAGAATAAATGGTAGTATCATCAGCATGCAATACCACCTTAGATGTGAGAATATCTGAAAGATCATTAATGTAAATTAAAAAGAGTATAGGGCCAAGGATTGAACCTTGAGGAACCCCTGAAGTTACAGAATAAGAAGAAGAGTGCTGTCCATCAAGAACAACTTTTATAATGCGATTGGAAAAGAAGGATTCAGTAATCTTAAAGATGTTACCAGATACACCGTAAGAAGAAAGCTTATGGAGAAAGCCAGCATCCCAAGCTTTTACAAAAGCTTTAGAAATGTCAAGAGCAATAGCCTTAACCTCTGCACCTTTATCTAGTGCACGATAAAACCTATCAATTATCACTGCTAGCAAATCAGCTGTTGAAGATTGAAATTCATATTAATGATCGGAAAGTAAGTTATTAGATTTAAGATGAGAGATTAGGAGTTTGTTACAAAGGATTCAAAAAACTTGTTTATGATAGGAAGAAAACTAATGGGACAATAGTTAGATGAGTCAGATTGCTCTCCAGAATTTTTGAAAATAGGGATAACAGATGCTGCTTTCCAGCAGGCTGGAAAACAAAATTCTGACAAGCACTTGTTAAAAAGTTTCAAAAGTATAGACGACAGCTCTGGAGAACACTCCTGCAAGACTATAATAGGTATGCTGTCCGGTCCACAAGCTGTAGAAGAGTCTAAGCAGGAAATCACTTCAGATATAGAAGCTGGAGTGATACGATAGTCAAGCAATGAGTCAACCTGTTTGACGGCTATATCAGATAGAATGCAACTAGTGGAATCAAGAGATGATATTGATGAAAAGTTCTTAGCAAACAATTCAGCTGTGTATTTAGGGGAGGTGACAAAGTCTGAACCATAGAAGAAAGGTGGAATAACAGGTTTGCCCTTATTATTGATGATACTATTAAAGGTTCTCCAGAAGTCACGAGAGCTTCATGACCTGAGAATAGCGAGCTTTGGCGTTAGACAAAACCTTTTTACAATGGTTACTAGCAGTAATAAATAGACATCTGTTTTCTGGAGAATTGTTTTGCAGATAAATTTGGAAGTAACAATTTCGATTGGAAATCGCAGCAGCACAATGAGAGGAAAACCATTAAGAAGAGTGAGGCTTGATCTGGAATCGTTGAGAGGGAATAAAAAGTTTCCATGCCAGTCTAAATTCACAAAGGCATGTAAGTAACACATTTTTCAATTGGAAGATAAAAGATTTCTACCCCAGTGCCATCACGAAGAAAATCACGGAAAGAGTCCCAGTCAGCTTTAAGTTAGTTGTAAGAGTTACGATGATAGAGGGATTCAAATGATGAGGAAGAATGAGATAATAGTTTTAGAGAGATCAAACTGTGATCAGACGTACCTAAGGTTAAATGTGTAGAAACTGAGGACTGACTAGGATCAGAAACAAGACATAAGTCAAGTAGAGAAGGTAGATGATTTGGGTTGTCTGGAAAGCGAGTTGGAAAGTTGACTATTTGAGTTAGGGGTTGAGTAAGGCAAAAGGTGAATTTTTACGAATGTAAATGCCCAAGCCAAGCATGTGGCTATTGGAGTCTTTACGAATTAAAGGAAGATAAACATCAACACTGAGATCACAAGATGAGATAGCTGAACTCAAATTAGTCTCACAAAGAACAAGTTGATCTGTTGAATTTTGCCAGAGATAAGACTCAACAGATGAAAATTTACTTCAAAGACCACAAATATTAGTGAATGATAAGTTTAGGGAACTTGGTGATGACTGTGGTTTTTTGTGTTTTATAGTATTTGGTACTTAAGTCATTTTTAAATTTGTTAAAAAACTTGACTCAAAGCATAGATAGTACTCAGTACACTGTTTAATAGCCCAAGCAATTGCCTCATTGCTATTAATAAATCCTAAGCCAAAACAAAGGGTTCTAAATGTGGCCTTGTCAATGCACACCAAAATTACAAACAGGGACACCACCCATGCGCAACATTGCACTGTTAGTACTTTGATATTTTTCAGCTGTTGATGGAATCTGCCCCTCTGAGAGCTACCACAGAGTTTGGGAAACCTGACTACCAGCTGGCCTCATAACCATAAAATTGAGTTGTAGAACTGTACCCTCATTAGAACATAATAGAATAAGTTGCCTAGTCATAAAAACAGAGACACAAGCAAAACCTATGCATTGAGTCAAGAAGATCTAGCATTCAACATCCTAAACTGGAAACAATGTATTAAAAATACATCTGCGCCAGCCTAATAGGTGGTGAAGGGGTGCGATGCTGGTTAACATCCCGTTACCCTATAAGTCTTTGTCTAGGAGATGTTAAAGGTATACTGTCTACAAGACAGTATGCATTTAACATCTGCCCAAGATGAGTATTTTAATCGAGACACTATCTCTAGCCTTTACTCAACCAAAAGCCCCAAGGCAGGGGGTGTT